TCCTCCTCCTCCTCCTCCTACTACTACTACTACTACTACTACAACTACTACTACTACTACTACTACCTCTACTGCTACTACTACTACTATTACTACTCCTACTACATGTACTTTTAAAATAATCAGTAGCATTTCTAAAAAATACGGTTAATATTTAGAGGAAATGATTAACAGACAGAAATGTCAGAAAAGGCCACATAACTGCCACATAATTGGCACACTGCAAATGTCAGGGGATTTCGGTGAATATAAAAGTGGTTGCAGACCGCACTTTTCCCCAGACCTAAAGCATATACCCTGTAAGTATTAAGCCTTTCGTTTTTTCGCCGTTGTTGGCTCATGCATAGAAAGAGAACTCTTTCACTCAACTCACCCAATCGTTTTATTTCATAAGGAAAAAGAAGGAGTGCTTCGTATAATTATAATAAGTCTGTTGATTAATTTTACTGTAGGAATTCCTACACGAGCATGGGAACAATTTAGATCATTTAGGAAGTGAACCTCCGACCCTGTCTGTCAGGGCCAATCCAGGCTGAGATGACTACATCTCAACAGAAAGACTGAGATACTCGAAGATAATTTCCTCCCAATTCAAGAATCGAACTGGGGTCTCCTGATTGCGACAGTGATGCGCCTAACTCTTACACAAGAGACACCGATAATAAGTCATTGTAAAGTTATTCAACAAAAGGGTTAGTAAGTAAGTAAGTTTATTCAGTGTTTAAGGCCATCGGCCCACATCACATCGCACAAAACATTCATTTGATAAATAATATTTCCATAATGAATAGGTAAAGGTTGTGCACATATCTCTTATCATGAGTCAAACATTGCATATTTCTGTCCCTGGGCTGAGTCAGGCTGGGAGGAATGAACAATTTCCTTTGATGGACAAAAAAAGGGTTAAGTATAAATGAAGCCTGTATTGCAAAAATGAATGCTAAGTGTCTGTGCGTTGTTTTTCCCCCATTCGTATTCCCATGGCCAACTCATTAATTGTGTTATGAAAGCTGATAATGTGTGAGTCCGTATGTGTTAGCACTAATCTAAAGAGCCTATGTTTGCACTCTCATAGATGTTGTTTACGAGATATTGTGTTCTGGTTAAATTTTAGAGGTGTTGTAAAGGTCATCAATAAGTGTATGATGAGGCTGATGCTGATGCTGATGCTGATGATGATGACGATGACGACTACTTCTACTACCACTACTACTACTACTACTACTCCTACTACTCCTACTACTCCTTCTACTACTAGTACTACTACTACTACTACTACTACTACTACTACTACTACTACTACTACTACTACCACTACTACTACTTTACATTCTCTATTATTGTAACCTACCTAGAGCTGTATTGCACACGTGCACCTAAGCATCAACCAAACCAGACATTTTCGTCCAAAAATGTTTTCCTCTCTCGGGAAGTCGGTGGTTGAAATGGAGCACAACTAATAACTATGACGAATCCCCGTTCGGATGTGTTCACCAAAACGACACCTCTCCTCACTACAAAAGACGAGCGTTTAGGAATACAGCATGCTGCATCTGTGCCATGTAGTGTGATGCCCCTTCAGCCATAGCCCAAGTAGAGATAAACTTAATTTCGAATTTTAAGTTCTAATGAGAAATATAAAGTCATTTTCGTTATCGGTGCCTCAAAACTTTGCAAAATCGACGCATAATTACCTGGGGTTTGATTTTTTACTACTTTGATTTTACAAAATTATCGTCTTCCGTTTTACAATATTTGACCTATTCGCACATACCGGAAACGAACATACTACACTGCCACCTACAGGAAAAACACGGTTTGTTTCTGGTTTCGTGGACACGCGGCCTACAGCTTTTCTTTTCAGGATCATTGACAGCCGACCTGACCTTGAAGACGAGGTCAAACCCGAGTTATATGCTACCTGTGAGCTATGGACAAAATATTTGGTGCTGAACTATTACATTTTCTTCGACGTTCATTTATCATCCTTTTTTTTCAGGACTTCTGGCCGTTTTACATGACCTCCTGCTACAAGATGAAAATATTTCAAGTCATCATGGTCGCTGTTTTGGTGACAGGCAAGTAGACGCTGGAATGTGTCAGTTCTGTTGTCTTTTTTAACTCTTTGAAGACGAAGATTCTAGTTATTCGAAAACACTTAAAGATGATCTGTTTAGAAGTATAATTCCTTGATTCTTGCAGATTTTTCAGTCGTTTTTTTTTTCACTCTGAAACTTAAAAATGGCTAGTAATAACATGCAAACTATGAAAAGTGTCATAACGTTGGGGAATCGTGCACTCGTCAAGTTTTGGACAAAATGGAGTTATCATTATACTCTTATAGCGTGCCCATTTGTCTAGTATTCTGCGAAAGAAATACCCATGTATCTTCAATAGAAGTCAAGATATTTGTTGCGATTGAAGGATTTTCGAAGTCTCCTACCATCAGAGTAAAATTAGGAAGAAAAAAGCCTCCAAAGTATGGTGACTTTCAAAGTTTGAGTGACCTTTCAAACTGCAAATTCATACTTCTTTCCCTTTGATCAACGCTTTTCAGTCATATTCACCCAGAAATGTGTTCTTAAACAGACTTAGAAGGTATTAAGCCTCCCCCCCCCCCCCCCACGAAGACCCCCCCCCCCCTAAAAAAAAAAAGAAAGAAAATTCTGAAGGAAAAAAATCCCCAAGGGCCAGAAGACTGTCGGTTCCCACGATTACATTTTTTTGACTAGCGCCTGTTTAAAAACAATTAATCATAGAAACAGCCACAGCAGTAATTTTGAACAGCTTGCCATTCCTTTTTTCGAATTCCTAACTCCCTTAAAAATTACTTATATTGGGATGTTCAACACTTCTCCTGCCATCTCTTAGAAAGTTTTTCTTGTACAATTCTCTAATAAATGCCTTTTTTTTCTTTTTGTCCGAAGTTGCACTCGACGAAGGAATGATATAGACAAAAATTAGCCTTCAAAGATTACTAACGATCTACTTTTAAGTCTTTAGTTGACACTTAATTACAGGATTTTTAAAAAACATTTTTCTTTTACAGATAGGTCAAGGACTGTAAGCCTTCTTATTTGTTTTTGTTTTGTTTGTTTGTTTGCTTGTTTGTTTAAAGAGACGGTAAAATTACATAAGATACATTTCAAAGTTTCGAAAAAAACCCAGCAAATCAACTTACGACGTATTTTTTTAAAAACAGGTTTGGTGGTTACCACAAATGCTGATGACCAGTGCGATAACCAATTAAACAGCTGTCTATTTGGGATGATATCGAGTCTTTCGATGCCCGTGAACTCCGAGGAAACCTTCCTTGCTTTTGTCCGATCCACGTCTGTGGACGAATTGTGCAGGTGAGGAAACTGCCTTTTCTCCGGTTTAGTTTTTTCCACTTTTCTTAATGATCTTGTTCTTGTTCTTGTTCCTGTTCTTTTTCTTCTTCTTTTTTCTTCTTCTTCCTTCCTCCTTACTTTTTCTTCTCCTCCTTTTCGTTTTCCTCCTCCTCTTCCTCTTCCTCCTCCTCCTCCTCTTCCTCCTCCTCCTCCTCCTCCTCCTCCTCCTCCTCCTCCTCCTCCTCCTCCTCCTCCTCCTCCTCCTCCTCCTCCTCCTTCTGCTTCTTGTATCATCCTATTCTTGCCGCGTCCACTTTTTTTCCTTTCCCTACGCAAAAGTCCTAAGATTTTGTTAAAACCTATTCTATTCTCTCAGCGATGATCTCTCTTTTTCTTCCAATCCACCCAGATTCGCAATTGTATTGGGTGTGTTTTTTATTCCCCCTATCGACACAATTTAGTTAATATTTTAGAGGGTGAGAATCCGACCATGCCTGTCAGGGCTAACGTGGCTAGAGGTATAAATCTCAGCAGGAATATCGAGATACTCCAAAAAACGTAATCATCAAAGTGTCTAACAACTACACATTCGTAACAGCTTATATGAGAACTATAATATCATATTTAAGTCCTACTGTTGCATTTTTTCCGAGACGACCTCGAAGGAACTTAACCTTTTATTTTTCGGACTTCTTCAAATCTTAATTTTCATTCTGCTGTTTCTGGCCAGAAAGTTGAGGTAACCTCTATGGCTGAGCTTTTTTCGTCGCTGTCGCAAGCAATCCACCTAAACCCAAATTTGGAGAATGTTCAATTTTTCATGCTCCCAAAGCTCTTTTAAAGATGCACCTTTTAACATCACCAAAATGCAGTGTAATGCTGGTCAAGACTTGCATTTTTCTTGCTTTTCATGATTCCTGATTCGAACCAAAAGAACAAAACCTTTTCCTTTTGGTCATTTGTGTTGAAAGTATCAAGACGGACTTAAGCGGAGTGCTCGCAACTTCTTACTTTACTCTATAGTATTCTTCGTCTTATACAACCCGTAGCGTTGAGGGGAGACAGAGCTTTCGGTCTCAGGCAAGCTGAATGGCCAGGCTGGGTTTGATGTTTTGGGTCCACGGGTATCCTTCATACCTTTGATCCATGTCTTGTTTGTTTTTCATTTTGATATTCTTACATAGTACGCAACACAGACATTATTGTTAAAAAAAACTTTTTTGTAAGTGTATTACGGCGCTCGCAACTGCATAAGGTCATATGAGCGTGCGGGACTCATTATAAACCTTTTGGTAAGAATTTTGAACTTCGCCCGGTTGGCGACCGAAGCCTACTTTTATCGATTTTTGGACCATCAAGGGGTCTTTAATGTGCGCAACCTGCTCACGTTACCTCCGATACTTTTAGCTGTTATCCGAGGAGGCTAGGCGTAGATCTTACCCATCATGATATGGGGTGTGGCTGAAAGACAGCAGTAAGAAGGAGCCAAGGAGTAGCAGTACAAAGGCTGCAGAAAGAGTCGGGAGCCCAGAGGAGGGGGTAGGGGCAGAAAGTGGAAACGAAAACAGACGACAAAACATAGTGAAAGAGCAGGAAATGAGATAAAAGGAGAAGATTTGGGTGAAGAAATGTTTCCGTCGCTATCCGGGCCCTACTGAACGAGAGGCGCACACATTAACCACTAGACCACGAGAGCCCTGAAATTACTATTATTATGATTAGTATGATTATTATGATGATGATGATGATGATGATGATGATGATGATGTTGATGATGATGATTATTATTATTATTATCATTATTTATTCTTCTTCTTCTTCTTCTTCTTCTTCTTCTTCTTCTTCTTCTTCTTCTTCTTATTATTATTATTCCCTTTCAGAGTCATAGCGGGCGGCAGGAACTGTGTTCAGCATGCCCTGGACAGCAGCTGCGCCACACAGAACGTGCATGGAGCAGTGCACGCTTACATGGACGTGGCCACCTACGCCTGTAGTCCGGAGGGCCGTCAGAGTGCGTTCATTATATTATTTTTAATTTTTTTATGCTATTATCTATTTGTGGTGGCCGAATTTTGCTATTCAAAAGGCTTTTTAGTGGCTGCATCGATCAACATGCAGTTTTCGCCAAAATATTCTTTAAAATATTCTCCAGATCATGACACCCTTCGGTTTTTTTTAAGTTTTAAGACAATTTTGCTGCAAAAAGCTAAATTTCTTTATTTCGCCGATCACTTTAGTAGGCCGACGCTTCTATCTCTGTAATTTTTAGAAAACCACCAGGTTTGTTTATTTCAAGTCGTACTTCCGTTCGATACCATGGCGCATTGTCGCGCAATACTTTCCCAACATCTGAACTTACGAATTTGACAAAATTAACGGTGGTTCAGAATCATTTAAAGTGAGCACAGTTATAATAAAGAGTCTGAAGTCACTGTAGTTTAATTTTAAGTTTTTCATTAGTTTCGTTATGATCTAATTATGGGAAAGTTGGTCTTCTTGGAAGCCATTGAAAACAAGAGATAGTTCCGTTCACAAACAGTGCATACTGGTTCCACAATGACTTGACGATCCATTCTTTTGAGTCCGTTCATCGAACGGGGTACCCAGCTCGTTATTTTTATATGTCACGACGCGTTGGAATCAGGTGATCGTCAATTTTTGGGCATGTGGAGTTGTTTGTATCATGTTAAAGCTTGTTCTATAGCTGTCTTGCTTTCAAAGGAAAATAATGCTCATCTTTCTATAGTAGAAGTCAAGATATTTGCGACTGAAGGAGGTGGGGGGTTCCCGGTTTTAGAGATAAAATTAACAAGAAAAAAGCGGCAACGTTTGGTGACTTCCATAACTTGGCAGTTCTTGGAAACTGAAAACGTACATTCGTGTGCCTTTGATCAACGTTTTTCAGCAAAAACTACGCAGAAATGTGTGCTTAAATGGACAGAAATAGTGCTGAGACAATTTTAAAAAATCTTTAAACATTTCAAAACCGGTTTAAAAAATAATAATCGCCGTTTTCTTCGATTTCATTGTTCTAACGTGCGCCTAACATATTATTGTTTCTTCATGTTTATTGGTTTAACCCAGAGTGTTACAGTTTTCAGAGTGAAGCTTAAAAGGTAACGGTTGGCGTCCCTCGTCTTTTTAATGATCTACATTGATAACAATAATAATAATAATAACAATAATAATAATAATAATAATAATAATAATAATAATAATAATAGTAGTATTATTATAATAATGATAATGATTATGATGATAATAATGATAATAATACAATAATAATATTATTATTAATAATAACAATAATAATAATAATAATAATAATAATAAGAGTAATTGTAGTATAATAAAAGTAATTAAAATGATGATAGAAGAATGAAAAAGAAGAAGAAGTATTCGAGCTGGTTTCATACATAAACAGGAAGTTCGATCCCAGCTATCCAGAATGTATGTATGTACGTATGTATGTATGTATGTATGTATGTATGTATGTATGTATGTATGTATGTATGTAGGTATGTAGGTATGTAGGTATGTATGTATGTCTTTTTGTTTTTATGTATGCAAATATATATATATATATATATATATATATATATATATATATATATATATATATATATATATATATATATGTGTATGTGTGTGTGTGTGTGTGTGTGTGTGTGTGTGTGTGTGTGTGTGTGTGTGTGTGTGTGTTATGTATGTATGCATGCATGCATGCATGAATATCGAGGTAATGGTTTCATCTGATATCTTGTTCACTTGATTACTTTTGTCGAAAAAATCCATTTACCATGAAAAAGGGATGAGATATTTGTCGATTGCAGGAGAAGGGGGTCGCCTGCCGTCAAAGTTTGATGTACTCTAAAGATTGAGAGTATATAAAAACTCGAAAAAAAATTTTCTCCCTTTCATGAACTTTTCCCAGTAAAATTTGCAATAAATGTGTTTTCAAACAATGGACTTAAAAGGGTTTAGTCACCCCCCCCCCCCTTTCACCTTCTTCAGCCCTCCCCACTGGAAAAAAATCAATAGAAATTGCCCAACAAACCGAAATTTGACAATGTCTTAGATTTCATTAATTATTTGATTTCACCACGATATCTCACATAAGCTCCTTTATGTATATCTCCCCCAGTGATGGCAACGGTGCAACAGTCCCCTTGTCTTCAGGATGTCTCTTTGTACCGTCACATGTCAAAAGTAGAGAGGATTTTTACATCCAGGCTACGAGAGGCTGTGAAGTCTCTGACTTTGAAGAGGGCCTGGTTTCGCCATGATATCTCCCATAATTCCCTCTATGTATATCTCCCCAGTGATGGAAACGGCGCAAAAGTCCCCTTGTCTTTACGATATGTCTTTGTACGGTGAATTGAGAACAGAAGAGATAGCTTGTACTTCCAGGGGACATGAGGCTGTGTTGTCTCTTAATCCTGATCACGTGGAGGATGCAGAAACTCCAGCTGATCCGGAAATGGTGTGCCCGTAAGTTGTTGTTGTTTTTTACGCTCTTTTTGTTGTTGCTGTCGTTGTTGGTGTTGTTGTTGTTGTTGTTTTTGATGTTATTATTTTGTTTTTGTCATTTTTTTTTGTCGATGTTGTTGTTGTTGTTGTTGTTGTTGTTATTGTGTTGCTGTTGTTGTTGTTGTTGTTGTTGTTGTTGTTGTTTTTGTTTTTGTTGTTGAAGTTATTGATGTCGTTTCTGTCGTTGTAGTTGTTTTTCTTCTTCTTCTTCTAGACGTTGATGTAGTAGTAGTGGTAGTAGTGTTAGTAGTAGTAGTAGTAGTAGTAGTAGTTGTTGTTGTTGTTGTTGTTGTTGTTGTTGTTGTTGTTGTTGTTGTTGTTGTTGTTATCAGTTATGATGATGTTGTCGCCGACGTCCTCGCTTTTATTTGTATTATTGGTGTCAATTATTTTCTGTTCTTTTTGCTACTTCCCAAAATGTTGACATAGTTTCAGAATGCCATCAGGTCTGCTGAGGTATTTTACACTTTGTAAACCAATAGAACCTACTGGTATACAAATGTTTACACTCTATACAAATCCTCCTCCTTCTCCTCCTCCTCCTCCTCCTCCTAATCCCCCTCTTGTTCTTCTTCTTCTTGTTCTTCTTCTTCTTCTTCTTCTTCTTCTTCTTCTTCTTCTTCTTCTTCTTCTTTTTCTTCTTTTTTAACAATGCATTCGGGAATTGAAAATATGGATGACCAGTAAAAAAATTGAAACTGAATGATTACAAGACGGAAATAAAATATGTTGAGTTAAAATACAAAAGCAGTGAGAAATCTCCCAGAACTACAAATCGACATCAATAATCATACAATTCGTTCCAAAAAAAGTCTTGAAAATTGTAGGGGTTCAGTTGGATTATGATGTGTCTATATCTTCCCAAATTAGCTAGCTCAGCAAAAGTATCAATTTTCTAAACAGTGTGGATTTATTGAAAACAAAGGCACTGTAAATGCCATGTCATCAGAACAACAATAGAACTTGCCCTTGAAGCTCAGAAAGATCTTCGTTTATGCTTTATAAAGGCATTCTACAAAGTTAGGCACGACAAGATTATCGAAATGCTGGATGTCCTCACGATTGAGGGGAAGTACTTAAGGATTATCAAGAACATGTACCGGGATCAAACTGCCGCAGTAAGAATAGAAAATGACATCAGCGAATTTATACGTATTAAAAGAGGAGTCAGACAGGGGTGTGCACTTTCACCAGACTTGTTCCCCCTGTATAGTGAAAATATCATGAGATACATAAAAGAAATACCAGATATCTCAATAGGGGGACATAATATTAACAATCTAAAGATATGCAGACGACACAATCCTATTAGCAGAAGATGAAGAACACTTACGGGAATTAATAAATGTCATTTTGCAAGGGAGTGACAACATGGGCCTAAGCCTAAACATCAAGAAAACAGAAACAATGGTAATAAGCAGAAAAACACAAGCACAAACTCCAACCTGCAACATCAAAATCAATGATACCACCCTCAAACAAGTACACCATTTTAAATATTTTGGGACCATTATATTATCAGATGGGATATATCACACGGAAATTAAAAGCCACATTTGCAAAGCAAAAACAACCTTAAACAGATTAAACAGATACTTACAAACATTAATCTGTCACTGGAAACAAGAAAAAGAGTGCTGAAAAGTTACATCGAGCCAATCCTATAATACGGGAGCGAAGCATGGATAAATCAATGGACAGCTGGAAAGAATAATTGGAGTGACAGAGTTTGCGGTTCATAAGATGCATGCTGCTTATCCCATTGACAACTAGAAAAACAAAAGAAGAAGTTTTGGTTGAAGCAAATTGTAGAATACAGCTGATGACAAATATACGAAAGCGACAGGCAAAATGCATTGGACACACAAGGCGGAAAGAAGCATTGGAAATTATTGTACTAACAGCAAGTTTGATATAAAGAGAGGCTGAGGCAGACAGAGGGAAAAGAACTGAACTGATACAGAACAATTTACAACAAGGCTGGAAACAGCAAGAACGACAGACACCATCGCTGCCACGCCAGACAGAGTGCTGTGGAGGTCCATGATCGCCCACGCGAGGCACAGGATGATGATGATATAATATACATATTATACATATATTCAGAGAGAGAGAGAGAGAGAGAGAGAGAGAGAGAGAGAGAGAGAGAGAGAGAACGTAAATGATAATATTCTATCTTTTGAGAACGAATGTTTTATCGAATGTTTTATTCTGTCTGAAGCTATTCAAGTTTAAATTTTATTGTGACCGTTAGCCTCGTGAGTTTTTATTGCATTCTATATTTCCTTTTCGTGAACACATCGCCACGCTCACTGACAGATTATTTTTCTCATATTAATTACATAAACATACACATAGTACTATGTTTTATGTATACCCATGTTAATTAATTTTTAAAATGTGATATAATCTTCATGGATGAACTTGTAAGCATTTAAATGCGCAGCATAAATGCAGTTTATTATTATTATTATTATTATTATTATTATTATTATTATTATTATTATTATTACATTATTATTATTATTATTATTATTATTATTATTATTACATTATTATCATTATTATTATTATTATTATTATTATTATTATTATTATTATTATTATTGTCCACAGCTCACCGACAAAATCCTGATGTCCCTCAGTTTTGTCTTAGTGCGCAACATGTATCAGGTTAACCTCAGCTTGTACTGTTTACATGAAGCATTATTTTTTTCTTTTAACAGAATCATAGAAGGGATAGAAAATTGCATAACGACAAACGTTAGCCGTGTTTGTGGAGCTGGGCTTGGGCAGTTGATGGGCAATGTTATTGCAGTTATGGGGCCTCCAAGGTATAGAGTCAACTGTGCTGAACGTCGACGTCGAGAGAGTAAGTTCACATTCATCATTATCTTTATCTTCATCATCCTTATCATCCTATTCCTCCTCTTCCTCATCATCATCATCATCATCATAATTATCGTCATCACCTTTCTTCATCATCTTCATTATCCAGATCATCCTCCTTCTCGTCGTGTTTTTCTAAAATTTAATCTATTTTATTACATTTTATTTAATCATTTAATTGATTTATTCATTTCTTTCTGTCTTTCTTTCTTTCTTTTTTACTTTTTTCTTTTTCTTTCTTTTTTTCTTTCTTTCTTCCGTTTTGGAGTCTGAGGTAAATTAACGAGAAATAACCCCAAAAGTTTGGTGACTTCCAAAGAACAGCTCAAAATACAGGGCGCTGCACAGTGGCGCCCGACAGTGGCATTGTTATAAACTGTTCTGTAATTGAGCAATAGTGTGTATTTATGGATGCATTTACGTATGTATTTATGCATGTATATGTATTTATGTATGTACGTCTTTATAATTTTGTTTTTATGTATGTAGGTTAGCCATTGTAAAACAAAGTGCCCTTCTGGGACAAATAAAAGTGTAATATCTTTTTAGAATTATTTTATTACACTTACAGTTTCTCCGAAACTGCAAATTTATATTTCATTTTGTGCTTCTGATCAATGATTTTCAGTAATAATGATGCAGGACAACATCGATTTTTTAAGTTTCATTATTTTGACTAGCGACTGATTTCACCCTGATGCCATTCGTTGTTCTATTGTTTTCGAATAGGTTTCTTTGCCAGCAAAACTCTTGGGAGACTCCTTGGACTGTAGAAGAAAACTATACATTGATAACTTCTACTCCGATGCACATGGCCGGTAGACCTGTTGGGACAGGATACGAAAGAGAAAAAGAAAAACAAATAGTATTGTCAAACAATAAAGTGATTGAAAAACAATACGTATTTATTCTTCTGTTCTTTCCATAACAAAGAAAGTGCATCAATGTATTTCAGACACTATTTATCACAGTGGCACTGTGGCTGCATGTGACATTTGTTCGTTTGTTTGTTTGTTTTGTGTTGTTTTGTTTGTTTTTTGTGTGCAAGAGATGCATCTATTCAGTAGGTTGAACATTTATGTGAGACTAGAGTTTGGAGTGGTACATATTTCTTTAACTTTTACCTATAAACAATAGGTACCAGAATTTAAGGTCTTATACCTCCTCTTGGGCGTCATTTGGCTCGTGGAGAGCTACAACATTTTCTATAATTATCAAATTTCAATAACACTCTATTGGGGAGTTCGAACCACGGTCTCCGACATTGTAATCCAGTACAAATACAATTGATATTCAAATACATAACATGTAACAACTCACTTTCATGAAGTTGTCATTCATTGATGAACTTAAATAGGTACCCGGTCATAGACTGAGAAAGGGGGGTTCTCGCGGCCAAGAGGTTAAGGTGTTGGCCTCTCATTCAAAGGTCCCGGGTTCGAATCCGGGTAGCGACCGGGACATTTTCTTCTCTAAAACTGTCTCCTTTCATCTCTTTTCCTGCTCTCTAGCAATGTTCTGTCGTCTACTTTCGTCTCCTCTTTCTACCCCCACCCCCTTACCTGCTTTGCCCCTTCCTTTGGGCTCCTGACTCTTACTGAAGCCTTTCTACTGATTCTCCTTGGATTTGGTCTATTACCTCGTTTACTGTATATATTTTGCAAATTGAAATGACATTATAACAATTGATTCACTCTTTCAACAACAAAACCAAAAACCAAAAAAACAAAGAAAGAAAGAAAAACAAAAACAGACCCCCCACAGAAAACGTCACTAGTTTGGTTTATTTACCTTTAGTTTTATCAATTCAACCTAGATTTAGACCACAGTTTATTTCTTCCACACTAAGAGAAAACTACATAAAAAGTACAGCAGCTAGATAATATGTAGTTTTTAATTTTCTTTTGTACTTTAGTTTAAATCTATTTCGAGAATCTCAGTCTAGCTATAACTAAAAAGAAGTTTTCAATTGAGCATGCCAAAAGAAAGTACGCCCCCCCCGTTCCGAAATTCTTAATATTTATTCTTCGTATGACAAGATTCGACAATAAAATAAAAGCATTTTGAAATCGAAGATTCCGGTTTTATGTGTCAAACGGTGCATCAGAACTTGATAAACAATCATACTCGTTGGACGCTACCAATAAAAAAAATCATTACAAGGTAATTAAGTATACTTCATTAGTTTAAAGTATATATTTCCGGAGTGCCTTGTTGGGGAAGCAAAATTTGTGCTGTCGAGGCCAGAATAAGCATGATTTCCCGTTTGTACTTCTCTGCTGACATCCGCCCCTTGGCGCTCATATGATCTATGTTTGTGAGCGCCGTAAAGCCTTTCTATAACTAACTAAAAGTACCCTTTTGTGGATGGCCGTCACTTTATTGAGCAGCCATCCATTCTATGAGAATACAATTTTGGTAAATGAGAAAATAGCCCATGAAGCGTGGATATACATGTAATTGAAAAATAAAAAAGAAGTATTTAAACACTGAAAAATAAAACGGTTTTGAAAATATGCACAAAAGCAATAATTAGTATAAGGCTTTCTAATTGCAGACCGATTTTTATGGCTCTAAGGTAAAGGGATATCACTCTGACGAGTAAAAGATGTATAGGAGTTTAAAAAAAGGATTATTCCCCTTACCACTAATACAACCTCTTTGTTTAACATTTGTGAAGTGTGCTGACAAAATGAGTTACTTCTCGGATTCAAGCCTTAATGAAATAGATAGATATTTAATGCTTATAGGTACTGTTTTTATAATTTATAAGTATGAAAAAAAAATAGGCGTGTTATACATAAATAATAGGGCATCAATAGAAAATCTACTAATTTGACCTTAGTGTTGATTTTTTGCCAATGTCTCCCTTTGTGGATTGCGAGAAGTAACTCATTTTGTCAGAACGCTTCACATTTATGCTTAGCTCCTGGTTTGTAGGGCGTGGTGTTTGAGTGCCTCCAGATGGACAAGTAATAGTATGGATACAAATATTTTGATACGAAATGATTGAAGGACAATTGGATTCCATGCTACAGAACCTTTTTACTGGTTACAGTGATTTTTCTATGTTTGATATCCAATATGGCGTCGACATCATCAAATAGAAGCCATCAAATCTACCTCCAAATAAAAGCTAAGCCCAAAAGTACACTTTTGTATATTTTGCAAAGCCTTTCTATATGTTTAATTTTCAAACAATTCCTCTTACCCGGTCTATTTTTCCTCACTCAAAATCACCTTTTCCATGGTGTGGTAGGTGGCCCAATCATTTGGGCTCCACGCACGAATGGGTACGTCAAAATTCCATATATTTTGTCAAGTAACAATATACTTAGTTGTAGTGTAGTTTTTGCTTGGATTTTTGGCTTCTTGTAAGTCTGAATATTTATTAGGTTCTGGTATATTGATTTACACATATATGATCTTCACTTTCCATTTTTAAAATGCATTTTTAATGATTATTTGTTAAATCTTGAGAATGGACGGATTTTAATTAATTTTTTTTTTGGGGGGGGGGGGGGGGGGAGGCGTGGGTATTCGTTTTGTTATGATCAAATAGAAACTTTTTGAAAAGTCATAGAACTACCTTACGAATCTTGAAATAGATTTTTCTACTATATGGGGCTGATATACTATTCTTTAATTTTCTGGTATCGATCCTATTGTTTTTCTTTGAAAAGTTCCAGTGGTTGTAGACGAAATGAAATTGGTCGAATGCTATGTTGAACTAATAAAACTGAAGGTGGGCGGTTGGTTGGCGGGTGCTCCGGTGTGGTTTGCTCCTTACCTATCAAACATCTATCATCCTTATCTCTCCTCCTTTTCTGTGCTTGTTATTCCCTTGTAACACTTCTTATCTTCGGCACTTATTGTGTTGCAAGTAACGTAAAACTCTTACTATAACTAAACCAAAGTGGTGGGGTTTTTGCAATTCCTGTAAAGAATATTCGACAAATTGTTTATCCTATGTCTATCTGTTTATTGTACCCATGAATAAGGAGATACATGTAGACCAAATTAAGAACAATAATTAGTTAAACCCTGCATACATAATAGACATTATATCCTGCCAAGTAACAACCAAACTGGAGCTCGGAGAGACAGATGAAAATGCTGAAACAATTGAATCCTCTATGTTCTTCAGTCTCGCATACTTTCCATAGTCCTCTCTCACTTTGGGGGAACATAGTAGTCTCAATTTCAGAGATTTCAAAAATCGATCATTCTTCAGAAAAACCTGAAGAACAAACGATATGTATCCTGTGTCCTTGTTTAAACTGTTTCTTGATAGTGATGTAATTTTTCCACATCCACAATATACACAATACAACAAATCGATTGGAGGAACTGATTGTATGGACCAGAACATTGCCAATTACTGGATCAGCATCCACATGAAAAAGTGGTGGTGTCCATTTCACATCGACAGCTTGATGACGATATCAACTCACAATACATGGATCCTGTACAGACGGCCAACACAGGCGACTGTGGTGTTGCCGTTAGGTGCTTTGCGGTCGCATGCAACCCCCCCCCCCAACCCCCCCCCCAACCCCCCCCCCCACAAAAAAACAAACAAACAAACAACAACAACAACAACGAGACCTTGATTTCCGTGTTGGGGGAATTTTGTAGAGTATCATGGTCTCTATGATACTGGGATGTTGCGTCTCTCTGCCCAGGTTGGCCGTCACAGGCAGGATGAAACCCGCTTCCTAAATGATCTTTACTGAGTCCAAAACTGTACTTACTTACTTTATCTGTCCTCTTGTACCTCTAGGGCGTCGAGGGGAGAAAGAGCTTCCTGTCTCTAGCAAGTTTGATAGCATGGCTGGGTGGGATATTGAATGTTTTCAGGGTATCCTTCACACCTTGGATCCAGGTCTTTCTTGGTCTTCTCCTTGCTTTGTACCCTGACACTTTCCTGTAGTAGGCTTTTACTGGCAAGCTGGTTAGGCGCCATACGTGTGAGATTGTTTGTCTTCGGATGTAGTGGAAGACATGTGTTGTTCCCATCATTTCTCTAATCTTGTTGTTTCTGACCCTGTCCTGTCTGGTTTTGTCCATAGGACCACAAAAACAACTTCATTTGATTAAACAAAAAAACCCAGAATAAATGACGATCCTGAACTGCCATAGTCCACTGGACTATCTTGGATTTTCAAAACAAATTATGGCCCAGACGTAGGTTAAATAACAAAGTACAGGAAAGCAGCCTGTATGCAACCTATTCCAGGCAGAACGGAAAGAACAATTGGATCTGAAGTTTAAACAAAGAAGCAGGAATGTATTTCTTGACGTCTCTGCCAACTCAGAAAAGATGCAGATTGTCTCTAAGGGCAACACCAAGAAAGCATGTGAAACATGGCCCTCTTGCCTTTTGCCTGAGAAATACTTTCAAGCACACCATCTCCAGTAAATATCAGAATTTTGCGTTTTCCCGGTTCTGAAATCTATTTTACATTCATTTTTGTAAAACCATCTAATTATATCAATAGTTGTTTGGAAAAAAATAAAAGTCTTAGTCATTAAAACTTCCGATATTGTTACCGTTTATATTATTATTTTCGACAGCTTACTGTGTTCAAATTTTCACGTACCCATTCGCGCATGGCGTACAGCTTGTTGGACGAAATTGAAATAAGTCACGAATAGAATAACAAAACATACATTTTGAAGAAAACCTTTCGTTACAACCAGAAAGGAAACTTATGAGAAAGTGAGAACAAAATCTAAGACCTCATGCACTAATGGGTTAACCCAAAAATATTTTGGGCAGTACAATTACTTGTCAAGTGGAGGCACTCTAATTCCATGCCTGACTCATTGCGCAGTATGAATTAATGGCTTATAACTAATTATAGTAATATAAAGTATTTGTATGACGCAAGTCCC